GAGAGAGGGAGAGTGAGAGAGAGAGAGAGAGAGAGAAAAAAAAAGAAACAGACCGTAGCAATTTTGGCTCAAGCCGTGAGCGGTTCAAGCCCGTGGGGGGCCCTCTGTGAGCCAAATCCTCGATCTTCTTCTCAGCACCCCACGGGACAATCATCTTGCCCTCTTCAGAGTGACGGTGTGTGTGTGGGGAGGCCAAGACACGGAGAGCGGGGGACAGGAGAGAAAGAGGGAAAGAAGATGAAAGAAAGGAAATGAAAAGGAGACAGCGGGAAGGGAATTCATGCCTCCAGTTGATACATCTGCTTGGGGCATTTTGTACCAGTTCTGCGGGCTGCACACGTCCTTCAGGCACGAGAAACCTGACGGGCCAAGGGCTGAGAGGTGGCTCGTGATTCGTGACTTTAAAGGTCTCCGTCTTTGTGTGCTCGCTAGGGCCGCTAGGGTGCAGGGCACATTCTGGAATTGCCCGGCCGCTGGATTCGCAATAGAATGTGCCACATCCAAACAGCGTTCTCGCCGTAGTTTTGTGTTGCGAGCTGGAAGTTACGTGAGATGATGTGGGCACTCTTTCCTGCTTCGTGGTCTTGAAGGGTGCTTCGGCCTTGGTCCTGTTGGACAGTCCGGTCCGGCGTGGAAGTCGTGCAGAGATCGGTCGCTTCGCGGCTCAAACTGCTGAGCGAGGATTCTACACTGCTAGCTAGACTTCTCCTGCCGGTGGGCAGTGTGTCAGAAGCTTTCTACATGTTGCAAGCTCCAGCACATAACCCCGGAGACGCTGACACCACCAGCGTCAGAGGCGTGACAATGGGAGGGCGAGGCTCGAGCCTGAACCTGCCAGTGAACTCCTGAATGCCTGAAAACAAGATGCCGACAGATGGAATCAGACAGCTTCAGCAAAAGGTAGGAAAAGCAAGCAAAAAGCCGCAGGCGGCAGGCAGGTAGCGAGAAGCAACAAGCAGAAATCAAACAAGCGAGAAAAGCAGATGGCCGGACAGCAGCGAAAAGGAAGAACATGTGAATCCCCGAAGGAGATAATGCACAAAACCATTTCCCAAATCATTGGGACAAGCAGTACTACAGCGCATCAGCGTCACACTGCTCACCGTCCACTCACCTTTCCTCAAGCCTTGCTTCATTGGTTTCATAAGTTTCCAAAAGGATGATGCGCCTGGTTATTGCACTCGGCTCACTAGGCCTCGGCGCTGGGCCTCGGGCCAACTCGGGGTTCTTGAGCTTTTTGAAGCCCTTCTCGAAATCCCACATCTGCTGCAGGCTGATGTCCCAGTTCTGTGCCATTTGGACCTCACAGCAAGAAGCCTTCGGCTTTGGCAGATGGATTTCAGTGACAAGGCAGTGAAGTGCGTCGAACTCTTAAGTTGCCGATGGGGTACATCGTTGTAGACAAGGGCCAGGCAGCCACAATTTCTCATCTCCTCTGTCACATGAGCTGAGGAGAGACACCCAATGTCTTATCGGGCCGATGTTGGACATACTTCTCAACCCTCAACCCGGTCCGAGGGCAGATGGCTGGATGCAGCGCTGCACCAGGAATCCACAATGTCCTGCAGCACTTCGTTCGCACGTGAACTGAAGTTCATGTCACAGAACATGAAGATATGCGGCCACGCGGATGACTTGGCCCAAAATGCGGTGCTTGGATGCCAGGAACCACCACTCCCGGACTCTATAAACTTGTCGCCACGGTCCTCGCTGGGGTCCTGGCCCAACCTTTTGTCGTAATACTCCGTGGCCTTTCGCGGATCAGCAGACGGAAGACATCACATAGGCTGAGTTAACTGGCGAGCCCACCTTCCTCATGAACCAACTGCCAGTGACCTTTCCCATCTCTTCCTGCTTGAAATGAAGATCTCATGTTAAAGCGGCGACAGAAGCACTCAAGGTCATGGCCAGATACACTTCGCAGGATCCTCACTGATACTTTTCGGACAGGCCCTGCCGCTGCCTTCTGTGCCTCCTCGGGAGGTACTACACAGCGCGTCAAGTGATCTGTCCTGGCAAGCGCCGACTAGTCCAGCTCTCGGGCTCCACAATCTCTCTACTAGGGTCACCAATTACTACTAGTTCAAAGAAGATAAGCCGGGCATTGCACTTCAGCCGCTTCAGCCAATGAGGATCTGACCACTGATGGTGCGACTCGTTGATCCACAGATACCCCGTCCGGCGTAGGTCTCGGCAGTGTAGCAGCCAAGCGAGAATCGGTTCAAACCGCGGAAACATTTGAGAAAACGAACCCCGAGCGCATCCTTGTGAAGTGCAGCCAAGCCACTTTTCAGTTGAAACGGTGGAGGGTCGGCTAAAGGCAGCCTCAGGCATGACAACACCTGTCAGTATCTGCGATTCCGAGCACCTCTTTTGTCCCGCTTCGATGTGCTGGCAAAGCAAGTTCCCGCATAGAGTGAACCGTTCAGTGCATGCTTGCATATATGATAAGGGTGGCTGGCTTCCCGCACTGGAAGCCACCCGTGTCCCGGACCTCTCTCCTCCGTGGTTAATGTAGTGTGTTGCTGGTGTTTCTCCGCTTCTCCCTCCGCCGCCCCACGCTCTGTGCTCATGCATATCATCGTGGTGGGCAATGTCAAGGTGCTGAGGGTGTACGCGCAGCTTTGGTTTCCCCCTTTTTTTTGCGTCCCTGCAGCCGCAGCCGTCGCCGTGACCGCTATTGGGGATTTTGCTGAACATGGCGCTGTAGAATTGCAGCCGGGCAACACTTTGTCTGCCAGGAAAAGAAGGGGAGAAAGTGCGAAGGCACACTTCGGTGTCTTCGGTAACTCCTCGCAGCCCCAGAGATGAACAACGGGAGCCAAAGAAGCACACATCGCAGGCACTTCAAACAGTTGTGTGTCCGATAATATTAACGATTCCGCCGAGAGACCCGACCCAATGCCTTGAGCCCTTCGTCAGGTTTCGCCAGCAAGCACATATCCTTGACGGGCACATCGTCTTGCACAGTACTGCTGTCTGCACTCACCACACAGTGCTAAGCTGACTTGCAGATTCGGAACCGTAAAAGCCCACTCCTTGCAGCGATCTCGCAAGCAATGCAAAGAAAGAAGTCGTCTTGAGGGCCTGAGGGAATGATCGCAGCAGGAGCCAGTCCTTGCCATCGGGTCCGAGGCCCTTTGCCTCGAAGACTTTCTGCTCCACTTCATGGATTCCTCTTTGAACGCAAAGCAAACTTGAATAGAAAACTCGAACCCGCTTTGACCTGAGGTTCTGGGCTGAAACCTCTGAGACTGCGCAACATGAACAACGACCAGACTAGCTTCGTGCCGGGATGCTTTGGAGAATGTCAGCTTCCCAGAGAGTGCCAGACTCGTGTTCCGCTTCCTCTGAAAAAAACTAAAATGCGAAGGCAAGGCTAAGATCTTCAGAGCGGTTAAGTGAAGAGCAGACGAGGCTCGTATATGATGTGCAGATAGAACATTCGCTCAGATCCTCGGACAACCAGTTCCAAACTCAAGAACAGAAGAGCGTGGCATCGTAACATATTCTCCAAGCTAATTCTGCAAAGCTCGCTCCATCAAATCTTCACAGCCAGGACAAGCCAAGGCAACCTGACAAAGCCCGAGCCCGGGCTTGGGACATTCAACAATAGGCCGCCAGATTTCGGCCTCTTTGAGACTTCGGCCTGCATCCTGCCTGCACTATCCCAGCTCGCATCTCGCAAATCGCCAAAGTTCGCAAAGGTGCTTTCATTGAAACACGACGCGCCTTTTCTTGACAATGTGTTCCTGACATCTTCGCACCAGAACGGCTGAAGCTTCTGTGACGGAGCTTTGACTAGAAGGTGCAAGTCAAGTCTCTCGAAGAATGACCGGCACGATATCATTTGGGCGGGGGTCCAGAATCGGAACACCCAGCAGCAACAGAACAGCGATGAGCAGGAAGCACGACAGAAGGCAGCAAAACCCGCCGAAATAGAATCCTTGAGCACGAACATCCAATCTTCACATGCTCTAAAGAGGTTTGTAGAAAAAATGCGCCTCCATTTGCAGTAAAACATGCAAAAAGTCCAAGCGACTCCATGGGCTTGCCTGGATGCTCTGCACTAACCACATCTCGTGATGGTGCTCGTCGTGGCCTCCTCCGCCTAAGTTCATCCAACAAAAGACCTTGCGATGCTGCTTAAATCACCTCGCAACGCATGCTTTTCATTGAGTTCACAGACATTCCGGATCCGAAACCGAAAACAGTTCACCAAGAGCCAAAGTCACCAGGCCTGCGACAGCTTGTTCCCCATGGCCGGCGAGCACGCCGTTCTCATCTGTACTAGGAACATCGTTCGAAGCTGCAGCAGCTCCTCCAAAACTGGCGGGCTGGCCAGTGTTTGTCGGCGATGGTGTCCCGGCAAAGCCGAAAGAGCCGCCGAAGGACTGGCCGACGGATAGGCCTAGCAACGGATCTCCAGCGGGGTTGTAGCCTGCAGTCTGCGCAGTCCAGTGCGGGGGGATGGCCGTGGGCGCTTTTGGTCGGGAAGGCGGCCAAGCACTCCCCATCGCTGGCATGGGCTGCATTGGAGGCTGCATCGGTGGCTGCATCGGTGGCTGCATCGGCGGCTGCGCAGGATACTGCATCGGAGGCATCTGAGATGGCATGCGTGGCCCTATCTGCTGACCAGGTTGGTGTGGCATCATTTGCTGAGGCCATGCTTGTCCTGGCCCCCAACTTGGGGGATACTGCGGTGGGTATGGCCCAGGCCTTCCCTGGCCATGGCTTGGATACATGGTCAGGTCACGGCATTACATCAACGGCAACATGGATCCGAAGGCACATGGCAGCAAAGGTGTTACAAGCTTGACTATGCAATGCGTGCAAGTGAATTGGACCAATGATTCGCTTGGTTCTCACTGTGCTTTCTCTAAGCACAGCTACTCAAGCTCCAGCGCTAACGCTCTCGAACCGGCCATGGCAACATAATCCACTGGCCTTGCCTTCAGGCTGTACCTGGCATGGCGTTTGTGGAAGCACGAGGTGGGGTTGTGGGTACTCAATGCATGTTTGGTGCAATGTGTAGCTTGTTTCCGCCGCGCCAATCTTGGACCCAAAAAGATATCTGAGGAAATATGAGCCTTTGTAACTGTCAACACGCGTCACTCCACACAACCTTCGGTTGTTGTACCCCAGAGGCTCAAAAGTGCTCGCCCGGGCGGCTTAAGGAAAAGTTGAGGTTTGGGACAGAGCAAAAGAAGAGACGAGAGGCCTTCATGTTGGTCCTTTTGGTCATTTTGGTCCCCACAGCCCGATGCGCCACAGTTCGTATGAAACCTCCGAAATGGAGCGGTCGAGAGATTGTTTATCACCCCGCCTACATATTGGCGGGCTGTTTTGAACAATCCTTACAAATCTAACAGGGTGGGTTGGGCGTGACACTAAATAGACTAAAACTCCCCTCCCCATTGATCCACAATGTGTCGGAATGAGGTGAATCATTTGATCTGACAAGGAAGCCTGCATCTATCAACAGACTCGAAGGAAAACTCAGATCCAAAAAGCTTTTGCAAAACAGATAAACAAAGTGCAAAGGCCTACCTTCGTACACAGGGAGGTTTGTCATCGCAAACTCAATAATGAGTCAATGATGCACGGTCACTGAGCGGTCACTACGCGATGTCACTACGCAGTCGCTACATGTAGGATTGCTAAAAGCTCGCAGGCCTTTGTGCAGATCTCTGAATCACAGTTGCGGAACGGGAAAACCCAGTTACACTAGCTCGACGATACGAGTTTGAGCAGCATGTTTGTATGCTTGAGGCGTGTACGCTGCAAGAGCCCACATATTCCACGATGTTTCTCGATCATATTATATTTGCGAGCATCGAAGGAAACGGGTGTGTTATTTTCCGACTTGTTTTCGTTTCCCGCAATGCCAATGATCGATCCAAACTCGACTTGGATGAGGTGCCCATGATACTGCATCGCGACAAGAATGTCTCCCAAATTCCACTGCCGGGTAAGCAGAGCGGAGCTGACTCCCGCAAGACTTCCAACAAGAGCCACACGATGCGGATCAGCATTGGCAGCAAGTAAGGTGGCAGCCTCTACGGGGGTTACGGTGTACTCCCTGACAACGGCCAATCGCAACGGGGAAAAGTCTGAGGCTGGCTCCACCTGCGCACGTGCCCCAACCAAGGAGCGTACACAACATGGCAGTATCCGCAGCATTCATGGACTAGAAAAGCGGTGAGTGCATGTCCACTGGTACCAGCGCCATCGATTCCCACCCCCTGCGCTATACGTCATAGACTGGGAGAGTATGATCCACACTGAGCCCCCCTCCGCTCGAACAAAATCGGCATGTACTCCTTGACTGTGGAGACTCGTTGTTCATACGGGGAACGTGATCCCCTGCGAGGAGCGAGTTCGGCAACTTCTCGGACGAGTTGGCTCCTCACTACGGCATTGGCCGAAGATGTGCTCTCTTTCCAAGATCGAATGCGCGAGCCAGAAGTGTGCCAAGGGAGTGCCACAGAGCAAGTGCAAGAAGCCGGACTACGACCTCTACAAGCCAGCTTGAGTTCCGTCGGCTGGATTGCCGTCACCACGTGAACGAGATTGTGCAGATCGCTGAACACTCGAACGCTTCGAAGGAGCTTGTGAAGCTTGAAGAACCCAAGGAGCGGTCTTGGTCTGGAGGAAGCCACCCAGCGCTTCTGTTTCGCGCAGCACCCTGTGCAGCTTGGAGGCGAAGACAGAAGGTTGTTAGACAAGCTCTACCTCTCTCTACTGCCGTGGAGTCTAGATCTCCCCTTTGGGGGCAGCTGCGCCTTAACTTTTTTCAAAGGCATGTCGCGCTTCTCTGTACAGATTTTGAGGGCTACCAATTTACTAGCGTCCACGGATAAGTACAGTGTCGCAATTGTGAGTCGAACCTGATGATGCCATTTTCGAGCCGTACCCTCGTTCCCCTAAGATGCCCCAACTCTTTGTCGGGGCAGGAGGGTTCATCGCCTTGGTCGGTGTATTCGGTGTGCACCCAGAGATCTCCTGATTTAAGTCGGTAACTTTTACCACCCTGTTCAAACAGGGCAGAGAGCTGTTGGGGTCAATATGGGTTTTTGTCTGGATGTCCTTCAGGAGCACAAGGGTCGTGAAGATTGCTTCAGGGCACTGTTGTCGAAAGAACCTAGCAAACACCTGGGTCGTCAAGGGAAATTCAGTAGACGAAGTCCTAGGCCCATAATTTCCACCATGAACAAACGACCCCACTGTGAAAGAGAACTCACCAAGACTCCCCTTACCTCTCGCTGGGTCCTCGGATTCCAAGAGATGCGTGAACTCGAATATTTTTGCGGGACTGATGTGCTGCAACAAGGCAAGATGCAGCAAAGGCTTCCGGAGGATGCGCACTTATAATGGGCTTAATTGACACAGGCTTACTAGGTGAGGGCTCAGATTCTTCGGTACGCAACAACGGTTTGCTCGGCACTGGGCCATGCTTGAAAGCAGGCGAAAACACCCCAGGTAACAGCAGGAATGATTGCAACGTCCTGATCAAACTTGGCATCCACAGGGACGGGAGCCCCCACCGTCAGCTTCTTCAAATCCGATGACAGGAAAGGCCGGGGAGTGTCGATGGTAACAACACAATTGAACTCACTTACTAGCGGCGGGATTATCTTGCGTGTCGGTTGCGAAGCGGCTGCAAATTGAGCGTCGTGGTGCAAAGGGAAAGAACGAGCCCGAGGCAAAGCACCCAAAGTCACAAGTTGGTCCACTACGGCATGAGCCCAAGCCCGACTTAAGTTTACAGTGAAGGTGGAGTAATGCAGCTTGGTAGAGGATTCATGCTGGTGCGAATGCCGAGTTGCATGAGTGTAGGCACGGTATGCACAATGCGTGTGAGACGAGGGCTCAGCGAACCCCACATGCACATGTGAAACATGGTTTCGATGAAATTAAAGCACAGCGTGTGCTTACACACATGCGAGGTCTTCCAGGGAATGTCCGGGGTTTTCGCAAGAGAAAAGAATAATACCCTTCGACCAACATCGGCCAAGAGCTTCTTGCAGCACTCATACAACAAGTTACGCGAGGCTTCAACGGATGTCGCCGATTGGTTCATGTTGGGATCTCCATCAGGCTGATCCATGCTACGATTTTGTCTTATTGGGATTGGCGGGGAGACATGTATATATGATGCACAACTGGGATTGTCAAGCATTTAGCAACAGCTCGTGTTCCTGCTCCTCGTGAAGGTCAAGACGGAGCACTGGAGCAATCAATCATCGGACAACTATTTTTGTTAAGTTGGTGCAAGCTGGTTTTGGGGCGACCTTTTCGGGGACGTTTCGGGGATATCGTGTGCAGCAAAGGACATGCCAGAAAAAACGCACTATAGACTATATAGTATCAAACTCAGCCAACATTGCGAGTGTGACCGATATAGTTCAGGTTTTTCAGCACGCAAACTGACAAGGAGTGCAAAAGCACACATCCTCTGGGTACACACATCACCCGACGCAAACTGAATCTGTTCGCAAATGTGACCCTTGTTGTCTTGAAGCTGTTGGGTTGCGGTTTTTTCCTTTATTGTCGGGGTGCATTTTTGGCTAACGATTCTGAACCACCTCCGCCGAGA